ACACATATTTCATATGCTTCTCCCAGTGTTGGAAAGGCCTCTCCCAGAAACCTTAGAGAGCTGCTACCAATCAGAATAGACCAGAAGTGAGCAGACTGAAGTCTTACGTGGTCTAGTTTGTCTTTCAGCAGAACCTGGAGGTCCGTCAACCAGAGCCAGGTGCAAAACAAGTGGCTTAGGCGAGCTCCCTTATCTAGATAGCTTGGTAGATAGTGCTGGGGCGGAGTTGGTGGACGTGGACCATGTTGGCACTGACGATAAGTTGGGTCTGTGACTGCATAATTTAGGTAGGTAGGTATCAATGACAAGGGAAATGTAGTTGTGAGGTCCTGGAAGCCAAATTTAGGTTGCTAGGTAGCAGGTGGAAATCTGGGACTACCAAGGCAGTGTTCTTTGAAACTATCAGTTCCATGAGCAAGGCAGGCGGAGAGGTGAAATGGGGATCTCAGTGCATGGATGAGGTGGTGGTGGAGGGAAGAGGTGTTCAGAATTGTTTGGCACTGGGAACATTTTTGGGTAGGGTGGGGCTGCATAAGAGGGATGGGCTCCATTAGAATCAAAAGGGAACCAGGTTGCTGGTACAGAACATAAAAAGGGTACAGAGCAACTTTTAAACTGAATCATGGGGGGAAGATGTCAAGAGGTTTCAGTTCAGGTTGAATTATCTTAAGGGATGAAAACAAAAATGTTTCTGATTGTCCAAATGAAGACCTGGTGGAAACAGACCATGAGCATAGGGTAAAACATGATAGATGATCATAGAAGTGGAAAGGCCATAAGGAAGGATGCACTTGCCTGAGACATCCGGAGAGGGATGTGTGCAGATTTGTCCGTACAAATGCTGCAAGCTTCTGAGCCAAGAAGGTTGGTTTTCAAGGTGAACACAGATACAGTGGGCATAATGGAGACTTCATGGGATGGAGAGAATCAATGAAATATGACCAGCTCCAGATACAAGCTCTGGGGCAAGGACAGAAAAAGGCATTGTTGGGGCGGGGAGTCAATCTGGGCGGGAAAGTGTCAAACTCGAAACCTCAAAAGAGGCAGGAGCCTCCACAGAATTGTTGTGGCTGACAACACAATCCTCCAAAGTAATTTACTACTAAGGACTTGCTGTCCTCCCCCTGACTCAGGGTGATCTGGAGATAGAGAATACAGTTAAGGAGGCATCCACATTGTACAAGGAGCATTGTAGTAATTGGTGACTTAAACTGCCATGAATAGACTGGATAAATGTATGTTTTGGACACATTAAAGATAAGAACTTTTTGATACCCAAAATGACCCGAGGAGAGGTGACCCTGGGCTGAACTGTATGTGGTATATTGGACCTAGAGCAAAATGTCACTGATGAATCACTAGCCATGTCCCCAGCAGTACCAAACTTAAATGTTTATGCAAGTAGAAAAAGTTGAAGGCAGAAGAAGGAGGTGAAGACCAAATATTAGATGGATTGATTTAATAAAGCCACAACCCTGAATTTACAAGGACTAAGCAAGGCTGTCAAAGACAGGATATTTTGGAGGACATTAGTTCATAGGGTCACCAAAAGTTGGAGACAACTTAATGGCAAGTAACAGCAACAATAAAGAGTGAAAAATTGCAGAGAATGTCTAGCATAGTCACATTTGATTTCAAAAGTGGGAAATATTTCTAAAATGAAGGAAGAGCTGAAAGGGAAATTCAAGAAGGTCAAACTTCTCCAAAATACTTGAGGGTTTCTCCAAACCACAGTAGTAGAATCTTAGCTAGAATATATATACCACTGGTCACCAAGTGCCAGAGGTCTCATGCATGGTGGACAAGCAATGCCAAAGAGCAATTAGAGGAAAGATGTACTTCAGAAACCTTTAGAAACACAAAGAAGCATGAACTTGCACAAAAGAAATTCAAGCAGGCAATAAAAGGTGCAAAAAGGGGAGAGGGATTTTGAAGAGTGCATTGCTAATTACATTAAAATGATCAACAAAATAGGATACTGGATAAAGAGGTGGTTTGACAGCTGGAGAGGTAAGCAGTTAAAGGAGAGATTAAAAGTACCAAAAGAGTAGCAGAAGTACTAAAGCAGGATAAGGAGACTGCAGAGAAGATGAATGAATTCATTTGTATGAGCAATACAGGAGTTGCCTGAACAAATGATTTCAGGAAGGGTATCTGTGGAGCTGAGGCAAATACTGGTGACAAGAGATCTAGCTCTTCTGGTCAAAAAGAGCAAATGAATTACCATCTCCAGATGGTATCCATCTGAGAGTCCTTAAAGAACTCAAATGTGAAATTGCTGATCTTCTCAAAAAACTATGTAGTATGTCCCTAAGATTGGCCTCTGTGATGAAGAATGGAAAAGTAGCCAATGTAATACCAGGAAGGAAGGAAGGAAAGAAGGGGGATGATCCAGGAAATTTCAAGCCAGCTTTATACCTTTCCTGGGTAAATTGGTGGAAAGCATTAGTAAAAACAAACCTATCAGGTCTGTAGGAAAAAGTTCTACTAAAAAAGAGCCAACTCGGTTTCTGCAAAGGTAAGCCCCTTTTCACTAACCTCTAGAGCAGGGGTCTCAAACTTGCGGCCCGCGGGCCACTTGCCAGGACGGGCGGGGCACAGGGGAGGGGCCCTGCAGCCTTCAAAGTGCTGGTGGCGCCCGGGCCGGCCTCCGGGAGCGACGCGGGATGAGCGGCCCACCACCACTGCGGTGGTGGAACACTTGATGCGGCCCAGCCTCACCCAGACTCTACTTCCAGCGGCCCCCAGGGAAGTTGAGTTTGAGACCCCTGCTCTAGAGCATCAACAAGCATGTAGAGAGAGATGATCCAGTAGGCATGGATTACTTGGACTTCCAAAAGGCTTTTGACAAAGTGCCTCACCAAAGGCTCCTGAACAAACAGCAGTCATAAAAAGAAAGAGGAAATTCTTCATGTGGATTGGTAACTGGTTAAAGAATAGAAATGAATGGTCAGCTTTTAATGGACACTTAGAAAAAATGGGCTCCTCCAACGGTCTGTATTGCACCTGATGGCATGTAACTTGTTCATCTGTTACTTGAACTTGGGACTAAGGCAGCCGGGTTAGCCGATGCTACCTAATGTAGGATCAAAACAAACAAACAAAACAAAAAGGGATTTCAAAGAGCTCAAAGATCTCTCTAAAATGGGGAAGTGGCCATTAGTATGGCAAATGCTATTTGATGTAAGAAGTGTAAAGTGATGCACATTGAGGAAAAAGTCAAGCATGCATGCACTCAAACATTGATGGGGGCTGACCAAGAAAGGTCAAACTCACAGGGGCCGGGGGCAGTTCAATGAAATTGTCAACCCACTGGTAGAGGTTGCAGTTCCAGCCTCCATGTTTATACAAACACACTGTCTAGAACACACATTTGTGCAGTGACAAATTGCATGATGAAGAACCCTTTATGTTGTAATGGGTTTTCTAACAGGTTGCTATATCCATTTTATTCAGGTCTTCCTGCTTTGTTTTTAATTAAAAAAGACCTTTGCATTTTATGCCTATTTTACCGTATTTTTATATCCTATTGTATTTGCATTATTGCTGTTATCCTCCTTGAGTACCATTTGGTGGGAAGGTGTGATACACATATTATTATCACAGAAATAAATAGCAAAGGTGCATGCACATAAGCACCCACCCAGGCACACCAACGAGCAGACAATGATCAAGCATCCCCACAGCACAAATTCAGACATGCTAACACTTTCAGCTCACTCAGCTACACATGCAGAGGGATAATGAACCACACAGATAATTTAACATACTTGTACATTTAACGGTTTGTTGGCTTTTAGACATAAAAGGGGGCTCTGCACACCTTATCGCTTACTAATAATGAATGACGTGTTGTTATTTCAGCACCAGTATAGCTTCTCTTCAGAGCCTTTATCCATGAAGACAGTCCTCAGCATGTCCGGTTGTGGCAGTGCCCAACAACTTATCAAGCCTCCTAAACCAATGCCTGTCATTCCTCCCTTCCTCCCACTTCCTGGCCCCTGCTTCCCATCCCTACCCCCACAGGCTGACCCACTCTCCCTCCCCCACCTCTGATGCCCATGATTCATCCCCAGCCAAGAGTGATGGGGTATGAAACTGCATCATGGCAAAGCTGAACGATGTCTGGGCCAAAGAGGGCAAAATGGGACAGTCTAAAGCTTGTATCTCTCCCCCTGTGAGTGGGTTGGTGGCAAGGGGGGCTCGCTGAAGCCTCCACGAGTTTAGAGTAGGGAAAGAAAGTCCTGGAGATTGGAGTTGTCTCACCCAGTGGAGTTTTGATGCTAGAGTCAGAAAATCCAGTTGGTAATAACTCCACCCTACATGGGGCAAAATCTACACACAGGTTGGCAATTTGATGCTCTCCAGATGTTTTGACCTACAACTCCCAAGATCCCTCACCATGTTGTTATTGCTGATGGGACCTGTAGGCTGAAAGGAGTTGTCCGCCCAGAAGTTCTTCTGTGAATGCCTGACTGAAATGAATGGGAGATAGCCAAGACCTGCCCAGGTCCTTGTGGTTGGTGCCCCATGGGCCACACCTGCCTGCTCTGCCTCCCAGGACTTGCCGAGAACATCCAAAACCTGGTGTCCTAGAGGAAGCCCTCTCACCTTGCTCTCACCCATCATCTCTGGTAGCCCATTTCCTCCCTCACATCCACGGCATGGATGATGCCACCTAGTGGAAGGAGGAGAATACCCCTCTTGTTAATTTACCAGCTGCCCAATCCCAGTTTAGAGTTGGCGCCCCCAGGAGGGCAGAACCAGCATGATCACCGGCAGGGATCTACTCCGGATCGGGGCGGACCATCTACCCCGGGTTGGAGCGGCTCTGAGCTCATCCCGGGGGCGGTGTCTGGGTCCCTCCTCCACCCCACCCCCTCTCCCGCTCCCTCCATCCATCTGCTGCTGCCACCGGCTCCCCCTCCCTCTTTCCTCCCGTCGACTCTGCTCTTTACCAATTAAGGCTTGCTGAGCCGCCCGCCCGGCCGGTGTCCTCCTCGCCGCCCCCCCGCCGCACGGCCATTCCGTGCCGAGCTCCGGCCCGAGACGCACCGTCTTGCCCGTCCGTCGCTCCGTCCCTGGGCACCAGGCGGCACCACCACGGTCTCTGTCGGTCCGGAGAGGTGAGAGGGACCAGGCGGCGGGGGACGAGGAAGGGGCGCACGGAGGAGACAGGCGGGCCGGCGAGGGCAGCGAGAGACCGCTGCGAGGTTGCGATGGGGAAATGCAGAAGGCTCGGGAGGGCGGGCGCGGGAGCGCGGCAGGGGATGGACCGAGGAGTGCAGGGGAGTGGCAGAAGCGGAGCAGAAAGAAGGGACGGGAAAGGAAGGTCCGGGCGCGGGGAGGGACGGAGGGGGAAAGCCGGCGCGGGCGAGCGCAGCGCGGACTGGTCGGAGGAGCGAAAGAGCCCAGAAGGATGGAGCGAGCAGCGAGGGACCGGCCGGCGGGAGGGGACGGAGCCCGAGCAGAGGATGTGGGGGAAGAAAGGAGTAACGGGATGGGTCGGCGCGAGGCGTGTGAGGAGCCCGGGGGGGAAGGAAGGCTGTGAGGCTGGAAGTGAAAATGGCTCGGAAGAGGCAGGACGATGCCTGAAGCCGGCGATGGGGAGGCTGGGGGTTGTGGTGGTGGCAGAGGAGGCACCTAGGGCGCATGGCCTCGGGTGCAGGGAGGTAACTGCGTGGAAGAGCGAAACTGCGGAGGGGGCGTAAGGAAAAGGGAGAGGCCGGCTGTGGCGAGGTGGGAAGGATGGGGGGAGGTCCCGTCTCATTCCTCCAAGGGTCCATTCCTGGGCTGAACTGTATCCCAGCGCGGGTGGGTACTAGTGGGCGCTCCTTCCCGAGTATTGGGGTGGAGGTGGCAGGGGTGGGGGGAAATCGCGGTCTTGTGTGAGCGTGTGTGCATGAATCTTGGCATTTCTCCTTCCTTTTCCGGGCAACATGTTAATGTGACCATTTGGGGCGCTGCTACGTGGGTATCCTCCCACCAAGGAGTCAGGAACATCGCAAGCTCACTTCAAGTACAGTCCTGTTGTAACCTGGACATCTGCTTGAGCTCCCGCTCCGTGCAGGTGTGGCAAAGAGCCCCCCGTCCCGCCCCTTGGCACGCAGACACAGGTTATCGGCTTATCAGGTGATGCGAAGCACACCCTCCTAATGCAAACACTCTTCTCGGTTCGCTCCGTGGCCAGTGCTGGGCTCTGCCTGTGCAGGTCTGGGCAGGCAGGCTAGGAGGATCCGTTGGACGCCCAGAGCCACCTGTGTGATTTTAGCAATGCCTTCGCGAGATCGCAGCTGTGCCTCCGAATCAGTAGCGGAGAGTAACTGCTGCCTTCATGATAGCAGACTCTGGAGAAGGTTAGAAATTTCAGCCCACCCTGATAAGCATTACTTTGCCACTCAAGTCCATGGGCACGCACTCCTGCTAACATGGGACACGGGCAGTTGGGAAGCTCTCCTGTGCAAGTTCCCCTTAAAGGACGGTGCACAAGTTCCCCTAGAAGAATGCTCAAGTTCCCCTTGGTGCATGCCCAAGAGAATCCTCCAGCCGACTGTGCCTTGAACTGCCTCTCATGAATGTTTCTCTAGAAGCACTTTAGGAGGGCCTCTTACCCTCGGGGTTGCTCCTGGGGAAAGTCCACCATTTAACAGCTGTTTAACCACCCTGTTTAAAGAACAGACATTGATGTGTGCCAGGGGAAATTTATCTGCCATTTAAAAAGCAAAAGTAGGCATGACACCACAAGAAAACTGCCCAAATCCATATTAGCATGATGCCTTTATTAGGTCAACAAACGGATCACCAAAAATGTGTAGTGCATGCACAGTAACCCCTCCCCTCTCATATGTCTTGTGGAATTTATCTGACACAAGTCATTTCTGGGTATGCGTCCTTCCTGCTTGATTGCATGGCACAATGCACAGGCTTTTGGCCACTTTTTCCTGTATGGCAGCAGTGGATTCGCACAAGCGACAAGCGTGCCCTGGGTAGATTTCTCAAGCTGTGAGCTAAGTGTCAGCCACAAAAGGGTGTGGATTGCAAGGGGAGGGGAGAGTGATGAGCAAGCTCCTGGACATCTTTGAAACATCTCGCCATACTCACAATTTGGGAAAACACGTTTGCATCCTTTTCTTCCTCTAATGCATTCAGAGTTTCCCATCTCATGCTCATTACAACCCTACTGAGTAGGTTAGCCTGAGAGATAGACACTCATAGCTGCCCAGGGGATTCTGCCTCAGAAAACAGCTGAATCCAGGATTTCTGCTCCAAGTCCACAAGCTATCCATTCCAGCACACTGGCAATCTCGAAAGGTGCTTTCCCCGAACCATTCTGATACATATTCATTTGTGGGTCCAGTGGAGATTCTTATGCACATTAGCAACTGCAAGGACTGAATCAGGAGGAGGTGGTATTATTCCAGATGAATTAGCACAAAGCATAAGACTGTCTGTCCTCTTGCAGGCACCTGTGGTATGGTACAATCGCAGCATCACTTAATGCAGATTGGTTGCTCTGCAACCATCCATTTGTGCACATGGGATTAAAGAGCATGGAGGTTTTCAGATCTCCCAAGGCACACTCACAATCAAGATTGCATAGAATGAAATTGTGTGCAATCCTATCTGTGTTTATTCTGCAATACAGGATTACTCACAGGTCTGCCTCAGGGTGCAGTTCTCTGCTTACTTACTTGAGTCTAAGTCCTACTGAATTTGGTAAGATTTACTTCTGAGAAGTAAATTTTCTTCTAGGATTGCTGTGTGAGAGACGCTCCAGAAACCTTTTAACTCCATGTGGGATCCACATTACTGACAGTGACTACCAAAGCTGGGGGGTAGCGAGGTAATTCCTTCCATTAACTGATCAAAAATTAAAGGTTGGGATGTGACCCCCCCCAAGCCATTCCATTGTGTTTTTGAGTCGTGAATACAATAGGAGGGGGCTAATGCAGCATTAATGGATTGATTCCTTGATACAAAATGAATTAAGGAATTGCATACTGTTATGTGTGTATCCTCTAGAACTGAACTGGGTCAGGAAAGAAACATCAACTGAGGAATAGTGTGGGAGACAGAACATGAACCTTATTCATGTTATTCCATTAATCTCATGGACTGAGACACTTAACAGTTGAGGAACAGGTTTCCTGCTATTGATCACCAATGTCAGCTCTAAGTGCTGCAGCAGCCCTCACCAACCTGGCACTGTCCAGTGGTGCTGGACCACAAATCCCATTATCCCCAGCCAGTTTGGGGGCAGCTGTGCTATCAGGATGGATTTGTGATGTCACAGAGCAGGTATGTGGAATGATCCATCCCAGAACCTCAGAATTATGCTGCCCTTCTTGCAGTTAAAAGAGTTGGGAAGGACGGGGCCAGGCCATGTCACCCACCCTGGTTCTCAAGGCTGAGTCTTTGTGATGGGTTAGCGCATTACTGGAAACATTCAGAGACCTCACAGATTCTGCTGTATACCACATGCAAAAGAGGGAGAAACTCCAAGCAGTTCTCCCCAACCTCTTACCCTCCAAGTTCAGCGTATTTGGAGGCCACCAGAATGGGGAAGGCTGGTCAGAGCTTGACACCCCAATGAGAACCAGGTTCAATTTGCTTTCAAACATTTTAATAGATGATCTCAGGATGTCCATTGCCTTTCAGGTTATCCTACCTGACAGGGTTGTTGTGAGGATAAATGGGAAGGAGGAACTAGCCCCTTGGGCAAAAAATCGGATTAAAATGTCATAAAAAGGAAGCTGGAGGCTGCTTTTCTGTACCAAAGTCCTTTGCGACAGGTTACAGGAACATACTGGGTGATACCCCAAGACTTCTTTAGTTCCCGAGGCTCTAAATTTCAAACAGCATACCTTACTCAGAGTGAACACAGGATGCAACACCCAGACGTTGTCTCACAAAGGCCTCAGTGGAGGGAACAGGGGCTGTGCTCAAGAGCATGGCCAATTCCACCATCCTTTGTGACACCCCGAACCCTCCACTGAGGCGCCATCCCAAAGCCATCCACTAAGATTTGTCTCATAGCACTGCACTTGCTTCTGATCAAGACAGCAAGATCAAGTTCAAATGGCACCTCCCAGGATGGTTAAGAATGCAATCGGTCTCTCATAAAACACTTGACTCTTTTTATGGCCCTTTAATAGGAGCCTTCCTCCAACACACACAACTCGAATTCACTGCCAGGAGCATTTCCCACACATTCTGTCATTCTAGGTCCGCCTCCCTCCTGTTTGAGCCAGGCTGCCAAAGGCCAGGAGGGATGCATGACAGGCAACTGCCACCTCTTGCTGTGCATGTACTAAGCAGAGGTGGGACCAGCTTTTGGTGTGCCCTCAGGGTTACCTAAAACCCCCCATTAGCTTGTGAACAGCCTGCAGTGCCTGATCCTGCCTAATCTTGAAAGCTAAGCAAGCTCGCACCTGGCTGAGATCCGATGGGTGACTTACAACTGTGAACTGCCCAGAGAGCTTCAGCTGCAGGTGGTATAGAAATGTTGTTGCCCTCGTCGTCATCATCTAGCCTTACCTGGGCTCAATGTGGATAGGCAGAGGGGCAGTGGCTGGCTTGTACACAACCAGGCCAGCCCCTGGCAGCAAGGGTGGAAGTCACTAGTGTGTGCAGAAGGACAAGAAAGAGGGGCCAGGGCAGGGCTTGGAGTGGTGGGGAGAATGGACCCCGGGCTTTAGCTGTGTTAGGAAAGCATGTAGACCTCCAAACCCTTGCTCCCCAGTGCTGCATCTCTCGAGGCCCCAGTGCTGATCAGTTAGCTCTTAATCCTTGTTAAGAAGCATTATTTTGAATACTGGTAAAAACAGTAAATTGCGCATCTACACATTGCACTCATGATGCATACAGAATTGGGAGTGGGAGGTAGTTTTGGTAATGCAGCCTCCACCAACCTGGTGCCCTCCAGAAGTTTGGGTTCACAGCCCCCACTGACCAGAGACAAGGGAGCTGAGGCCCAAAACATCTGGAGAGCACCAGGTTGGGAAGGCTGTTCCTGCACCACCAGCAAGAACGGGCCACAATCGTTGCTTGGACCTTCAGTTCTTGGGGCTGGTCTCTCCTTGCTCAAGCACGACTCACCCCCTGCCAAGGCAGCCCGGCCAGAGCA